ACTATGTCTTCGTGGAAAACTAGCATAACGACGCCGGAGTATGGTCGCCGTCAGATCGTTACCACGAAAATTATAGGCCACGGTTACAATGATCCAATAAAATATGTGCGTTCATTGTGGATATATCTAGGTCTATTCTAAATCAGTTTTTGTGGCAGGTTTAAAATCTTCATGATCAGTAGACCTAGCAGGAATATTTGAGATAAGCTCCCGCTCCCGCTATAAGAACCGATATCGAAATTTGAACATTTGTGCAGCGGATATCGGGCGCAAAGAACACCAAAAACTCATATTAATATTGACTATTCTATCATATCCAATGTAAGTCTCATCGATTACTATCCAAATAATTAAAGGAGAAGGTATAGACATGTGTATCTTTCGATATAGACATGTGTATTGTAGAGCCTTTTTATCTTGAAATCTTTACATGAAGCGTCAATAGCCTTAGTTAAGGGTACGGATTACGATCACGAGGTCAGGGGTTCGAATCCCACCATTCGACTATTGTCATACACCATATCCTAGCACAAGCATAAAGCTTAGTTAGAATTGTAAAAGAAAAATTAGTGAATTAACAAAAATTTGCTAATAGTAAAAAAAAAATCGTGTTTAAAAAATGAATTTATCGTAACCACTTATTGTTGTTATTAGTTTAGAAGTTACCGCAACATTCTTGGTTACGTTTAGTTATATCCTTTATAATATAGGTGTTAATGTTAGAAGATATTGGTTCATACAAGCTTCAAATACCTCCGATATCTTGCCAGGGGCGATACAACCTGTGTAACATAACTGGGTCAAAGGAACGTGTTCATTATTTCGTCGATGTAATAATAATTTACTAGCTATTATAGAAATTGAGAGCTTTAGATGGATTCAACCAGTTTTTTTTTCGACTGAAATCTTTGTAAGTAGAATGAATGTCTTTGAATTGCCACCCTTTTGTGTCTTGTTTTTTTTATATGTCGTCTTTCGATTCTGATTCTTCCCTTTTTCCCAAGCTTTTATTTTTTTTATTAATGACTAATTATAAGATAAGTTAGGAGATAATTTCATCTTGTAAATTAAATTTTATTCGCAACAATGTTTTTTTTATTCTATCAAGTTATTGTTACAAAGGCAGAGTTGAATAGTACATATCATAGTTCCTTCAATAAATTATTTTTTGTAGCAAAATACTTCACTTGCTATGAACACGTAGATATTTACGAAATGCGGTTCCCGTTTAAAGATTCACAGCACATAAAGTATCATTTACACTGTGTAGAAATTTGGGCAAAACACTATCACATACTTCTCGTATAAAACTTGCCCGACACAGGAGTGATCGTAAAATTTTACAACGTAAGCCGTAGCGAAGTTTAAAATTTACAATGAACCAAATAGGTACTCAAACTAGTGTTGTGCACTCTACATCGTAATATTGCAACTCTAAATGTTTGCAAAGTTTTGCACTTTTAATTTTTTTTTTAGTTTAAAAATTTAGTATCTAACAAAGAACACTTTTTTGTGCTTTAAATCAACACGTTTTGAGGTAATTTTTGTAATGGTGAGATGCCAAAATACTTGTATCTTTCTTGCACACACAAGCGCACAAACATACCCACACACACAAACAGTTGTGTCCACAAGCGCACAAACATACCCACACACGCACACCGCACAGTTTGTGTCATACGGCATATGTAGCATAATTTACAAAACAGCTATAGCTTTAGTAAGGGGTACATTCTTTCATTTTGCCGGGAACCAGCTGTTCGGCTTGACGCTTCCCTGAAGTAATGATAACGTCGCATCTATGAATAATACAGATCTCTAAGGCCTTTTGTTATTATTTTAACTAATATAGTCCCTATGGTGTGACATTTCAAAATGATTTTTTTTAACAAAATATTTAATTCAATTTTTTTTTAATTTTAAATGCGAATAAGGGTGTTATTTGATTAGTAATGTTTCAAATCATTTTATGTATTCTTTTTAACTATACCAACTAAAATGTACGTAAGCGCTTTAATCATCTTCTAGGGTTGGTTTAGTTCGCCAACTTAAATCCAGACAACACGCGTGGTGAATGCATCACTTCGTAGTTAAGTTACTCTGTTCTTCACACAAATGAATACGCTTTATACTGTTAAAACAAACCAGTGGTAGACTCGAAGTTCAACGCTCAGTCCTACACTAAATAAGCGCTTGAGACTGCGCTGCAACTCTCGTTGAAAGCGCTTTCCTGCGTTACAATTATCTAGTACGTTACATATATGTTATTTTATCCATTCACTCCGGGGTTTAAAGGGCTGTGAATTCTAAAATTAAAAAATGGCGTTCGCGAACCGTGATATATGGTGTTAAAGGGAGCATCTGTCTGTCAAGGACCACCTACCGAGAGACAGGCAGACACTACCATTCATCTTTATTCACTATTTACAAACACTTACTGCATACGTTTAAACTCTATCGTTAATGCCGTAAGGTGTAATTTAGCGTGTGTGGTTGTTAATTTATCATTGCATAACTAGACGCGTCGTAATTTATGGCAAGTGTAACTCTTAACACCAAGGTATAGAGCTGATATTCGGTTGCGTTGAGTGATGAGTTGTGAATAAATAATGTGACTGACGTTTTTGTTACGGACGTTATGCGGAGGCGTTGTGTTGTGTACACGTCTCGTTTTCCTAAATTATTTTTAATATTTACAACACCGCTGAAATATATTTACGGTATGTGAAGATGGAAATATGTTTTCGGCGCGAGGATACGGGGGCGCGTGAAATCTTACGACGCCATTCCGAAAGGTTCGTTTGCGTAACGAGAATTTCGTTATAAGACAATACTTTAACCCGATGAACGTAATACTTAGGTTTAAGAACTATTTCCATTACGTTATCTGGAAAGAAAACTATCATTAAAACTAAAATCTTATAAAAAAAACGTCATAAGGAAAATATAGTAAATGTAGTAAGCTAAGCCTTAAACTTCTTATAATTGTTTTCAGATATCTAGGAGGCTCTACACTTTCTTAAAATTTTTGGTATAGTAGGGCGTAGCGCGATGCGAGAGGAGGGCACTGCGCAGCGCCCGGTTGACCTTGGGCCGCCAAGATATTTGAAAAGAGTAATTACACTTAATGATACTCTGTTAAATTTATTTGTAACCAATTAAAACTCAAATGTCATTACAATATCCAATCGATACCTACTATAAATAAATCACCAAGACTACCTTTATAGCGATTTATCTCCCCGCATCTGTGCCTGACGCGGGGAACAAAGCGCTCCATCCATTTGCTGAATGCGAGCAACAATGACGTCATCGCATCTCAGACGTGCGTGTGGAAAGGTCTTTATAATAGACACCGGGTGTGACCACTTGACGAAACAGAAGAAGGAATCTTTAAATACAACGAGAATTATTAACCAGAATAAAGGCATTGGTATATCTATGTTTGAAAATGACGAATAACATTCTTATATTTTTGTTGAGCTTAATTTTATTGTTAAGTCTCCAAGAATTTATCGACAAACAAAATTGAATAGATAGCTACTTCTTATCTACATATTTAGATATCGTAGGTTTAATCATAAAGTTCGTTTAAGTTCTTGTTTCCAGTATTTTTACTAAAAGGTTATCGTGAACTGATGAACCTTGACAAAATATAACAGCGCCGATACGTTTCATCGAAATTTGTTTGAACATCGCGCTCCCTCTGGAGTAGTTACTGAAAATGGGAAGCTATATTTCGTATCCCTAATAGGTGCGCTACGTGGGTCTGCGAAGTGTTCGTTGATGTTATATTCAAAACGCGCCACGTGCTCTTAATGAACGCACGTATATTGACGCCCGAAGCTAAACTGCTTCAGTTTAACGGCTAACTGCTAAATGCAGCTCTCCTTAGCAGTTAATATCCTAACTTAACTACTTACTCCATTATAGCATACGTGCACGTAGTATATACAAATAAAATTTATATCTTTACCCAAAATGACTAAGATTTCGATTCTCCTTCTTAAAATTTTCAAAAAATATCAAAATATTGGATCTTTTCAGAGTAATCTAGTGTGACATAAAATAGTTGCCTATCGATCATACTTTATTTATTAAAAGACTGCCTGTCTGCGCGCAATAAAAAAAGCCGTATTACTAGACTATGTGTTCTTCCAGACTATGTTCTATATCTGTAGCAAATTTCATAAAGATCCGTTGGGCTGTTCCGGAGATACCTTCAAACACATTTCCAGCCATCCAAACATTCGCATTTAAAACATTAGTAAGTAGTAAGATTCTTCTTCGTTTTGGTCGTTGCAGTCTTTTCAGACTGGTTGTGGTCATCAAATATCAGTGAAGAAGTAAGATTAGGTCTAGAATAAAGTAACGCAGGATCAACGTTTCAACAATAATGCATTACTATTAAAATAACCAATAATATTTTATCCTAATGCATCCAATCATAAACAATATCAACATGAGAACCGAGAACATAGAATTTTAATATAAATTACGCCATAAACATTTACTCGCAATTTGTAAGGGAATTATGTGAAATAGTAATCAATGAGTAATGTACCTCTCTGAGTGTAACACTGACATCCTAATGCACAATACGTGAACACGTAATCAGTATCATAGCGCGATGTTTCCTTTAGCACATTTAAATAAAATGATTTGAAGGCTTAATTCAATGGAATAGGGTACGTTATTGACTGTTTTCTTATACACATTGATATTCAGCGTGTGGTTTTCGTTGATATAATTGACGTAATTCACCAGATTTCATCCAACGCTTCCCCTTACTCTCAGTACTGACACAAGGACATTTAAATTTACATTTTAAATGTTTTAATTTTTTCTATCGATCATCCAAAAAAAAAGTATAATCAAATTTCATGACATTATTTTTTCGAGTAAAAACACACTGTAAGTATATAAAACGGTGCTACACTATACTACAAAACACATAAATTTTACGCTAAGCTTGTCATAGAAACTTAAACATTAAAATATTATATTTTAAATGGATAAACGGCCTTAACAGCCAATTTCCTTTTCTCGATATATCCCATAACCAATTCACCAACAAATACCAATATGGTGAGAGCATACATGATAAGAATAAATGCAAAAGCACCTAAAAGATGTTGGATACTCAACGGTAGTATGGTCCCCACTCTTTCTACACTAGGTCGATGAATAAATAATTCCCTGTTCCATTTTTCTATGAGTCCATTCTCTATGACACTTCGTATAATACTATTAAACCGATCAAGTATCGGAAACCATTTCCTCGCTAAAAGTACCACGCTATATTTATATAGATTGTCACTTTCTGGAAAACAGTAGATATAACTTGTACCTTTGCCTAAATTTTGATCTTGGTATTCGGCTTGTCTTCTAGAAGCGACTACTGCAAAGTCCTTGTCGAACGCAGTGCGTCGCACGCCCTCAGAGAATGTTGTACCCTCATAATTACTAAACAAATGAGGCGAGGTAGAGTTATTCATCTCAAAATATGTACGATAAATCTCTCTGCCGCCGAACGATATACCGGATCGTATTAATTCAGATTCAGTGCTTATCTGCTTTTCGAATCGTGGATGCATTAGGAAACTGCGAAGTAAAGATTCGTACGAGATCGTCATGTTCATACTAAAAAATAGCCAGCTGAATACTAAAATACGAAACGTTGTGCTTTTAGGTTTAAATGATACGGTCCAGCCCAATAGCATATTAAACGTAACCAAAATTGATCGAACAATAGATACGGGCTTTAAATTTTCATTGCAATAGAAAATGTGAAATAATGTACCCATTATAATGCAGCCGAAAAACATAGCGACCCACGTTGGCCATTGGAAAATTATCAATAGATTGTCCCATGTCGCAGCTTCTTTTGCTCTTGGGACGCACCACGTCATTTCATCTTGAGTGTAGCTTTTTGTAGGACTAAACCATTTACGTAGCCTTCTCGTCACTTCTATGTTTCCTATCATTAGATCTATAGAGTCATTTCTTAATAGACCATACGTTCCTGTCGCTGTACCATTTCTGTTTATAGTGCCCCAATTTTCTTCTTGCTCGGACATAAATATATAAAGACTCATATTAGTAAATTCTGCTATAGTTTTTACTAAATTTACTTCTCCGCCCTTATCAAATTCATAAATATCAGCTTCTTTAGATATCTTCCTTGATGGACTCATAACGTAGGGTTCCGCTACGATAGCATGAACTATGAGAGGACAGCCTTTTAGGTCTATGGGAATGGTATTTCTTAGTTGTTCGACTTCTACAAAATTTTCATCTTGACATATATCAAGTATGTAAACAGAATTACATTCGTCTCCGCAATTTTTATCAGTGTAAGGTCTCCAAGAATATGAAATTACTTCATCTTCTAAATCATCATGTATTAGTACAATACTCTTCAGAAGTTTATAAGTACGTAGTTCATTTATAAAATCTATCGCAACATTTTCACCCACTTCTCCTGCCCGGAGCTGATAATAAACTACGGCTTTAGCGAGTGGATTCCACGATGGTAACTGATGCACTTGTAATATATTTCTCGTCAATTCCGATTTGTCTTCTAAAATTAACATATAATTCTTCGCTTTCTCGGGGAAATGCGTTGCGTTAGCGTGAGGAAAGGTAGAATCCTTTACCATCACTGAATATTTCATCCCACTATTAATGGTTTGCAATAATAAACTCTGAGTAGTAGAAGCATAAGAGTTTATATTGATCACAACTATACTACCGCTTAATGCTATTTTCTCTACGAAATATTTTGCAGACAATTTTAAAACGCATTCAGCGCTTTTTGCTGTTTGACTAAAATTCTCGGTGGTCATTAGTAGTGAATTTTCAGCGAACGTCAGAAGAACAAAAATGGAGAGGAATAAGTAACGAAGCGAATTTCCGTCACACATCATTATAAGCTGCGAGTTGTGAAGGCGTCCCGTGAATGAGATTCCACATTACTTTTTACCTTCCTTTATAAGCGGTTTCATGTCGGGGTTAATCACATTTTCTTACCGTATTTCATTTTTACTGTATTAAAATATGTTTTCCGGATTAGATTGTAATATTTCACGGTAGCATTGTAACCGACTGAAATAAAATGACGTATTTTCACTGGTATTTCATATGTTATATTTGTAATGAGAAATAAAGAAATAAACGTTTAACTAAATAAATAATATATGAGAAAATGTTCACCTAATTATTTAATATAACTAACACCTGGTAAACTTCTGTCCGATTCTGATACAGTAACCTACAAAAACTTCATTGATATTAGTTTTATATTAGATTCCTATCGGAGAAAAAACATCTCGATAGAAAAAATATTAACAGTAAATTACCATGAAATGTTTCCAACTTCTGACATAGACAGTCTTTTCAAATTATTGTCTTGACATTTTAAAAGTAAATATACGAGTAATCAATTACAAATTGTTTCAAGAATATGAACTTTAACAAATCGTCTTCAACCATAATCACTGTGATTATAGAAAATGATGGATTTCTTTTTAAAATTTTACTATAATTTTACAAAAAATAAAATCATAAGTCACATTGTAGAAGATTTTAAGACAAACTAAATATATACAAAAACAGAATAATTTATTATAAAACGGTAATGTACTGTAAGTTTTTTTTTATATAAGAGAAGGGGGCAAAGGAGCGGCGGGAACACCATGGTGATCAACGATACCCATGGACGTTTGCAACACCAGATGAACTGCAGATGTGTTACCGGCCTTTAAGGAAATGGTATGCACGGTCTTTGAAGGGCCCAAAGTCGTATTAGTTTGGAAATATTCCTATACTAATTAATGTTGTATTATACGACTTTATTCCCTTATTATTCTCTAATTTCATTACGTTCGTTTTGTCTTTAAAGCTTGCAACAACATAATGTATCCCTAACATTCTTAAGATCTTTGTCTAAAAAATCTTTGCTTATAAAGAATTTTCATCAAAGTCATCATCTTTCATAGTATTATTCAGTTGTTTTAAATTTATAGGATCGTAATCTTTAAGTTAACCAATGTATAAAACACTCTTCTCACATTCTGCTGTTAATTTTTACATATATAAAAGAAAGTCGTGTTAGTTACACTATTATATAACTCAAGAACGGCTTTACCGATATGGTAGAAAATTGGTGAGGAGGTAGTTTAGAGACAGGAGACGGACATGGGATACTATTTTTTTTCGAATAACGCCTTGAAGAGCTGCTTTTTATGTAACTTATCTATATATTAAGTTTTTTTATATATCGACGCGGACGGAATCGCGGGCGACAGCTAGTTAAATATGTTTATGTTATTTTTGATGTTGGAATAAAACAAATCTTCAATTTACACAATAATATTTTATTCGAAAAACTGCTTTACACATAAACAAAACACGGTATGAATGACGTCGACTGTACAACAATTTCAGATGATAAGGTACAAACTAAAAACAATAAATCCTACGTACATATTCTACATACAACAGAACATTATCAAAATCATAAAACAAAACAAAAGAAAGCGGCGTATTTCATATAAAAGTCCGCTCTGTATTTTCTTTCTTCTCAGTTGTTATAGTCAAAATTATTTCATAAACTGCTCATATGTAGAAGATGTACGATATTATGACATACAGGATGTTCCGATATAAATAATTACACGTTAAACATTAATCATTAACACTAAAATTGACAGACAAACAAATTGTTGACTAACATTTTGTGCCGTAAAACGAGTGTGTCTACACCGTACGTTACTGCTTACATTTACTATAATTATTAACTATATAATACAATAAATGCAACCTTCGAATACCTAGAACCTGTGCTTTATAACAATCTATATAAATATGACTTTTATCCATCTTAATTTAAAGCTAGGAGAAGATTTTTTTTTTATTCGGAAAGAGGAAAACGGGACGGTGGGTGTAATATCTAATAGTACAAATATAAGCATTCCAAGGTCACGAATCAAAGGGAAAACAGCATGCGTTTCAATTTTTAGTCGCTTTAGAATAATTTTTTCAACATTCACTCATAAATCTATCAGTTAGTTGTCTAAATGTCATATCTGTATTTAAAATGAAGCGGCCCTTAGCTGTTTACTTTAAGGTAATCCGTCTTGTAACGATATAGACTTTGTTAAAGTAATGTACGACCATTTTTTAATTTGAATATTTTAATATTAGTCATAGATTCTGTGGAATAAATTGTTTTATTTAAGGCTATGTATAATAATTATTTATTTACAATAATCAATCGCGTGATACGGATTCTTTAACGTTTTCCGATCAGCGTTTCATTTGATTAGGCCTCTAGATATTAAATAGGAAAAACTTGAAAAGCCAAAGGGAAAACTGTTGAGCAATGACTGGAGATGGGTCATGACATGAATTACTTCCCGTAACATATCTACAAGCTCATTTGCCGGTAACGCCCACTACATTACAAACACCTTCCTATTCCAAGCCGTTTACTAAATCGAGTAATACCAATATCCCTAACATGCCTAATCCTCACGCCCCAGCTATTCGGTAAAAATATTTTGTATAAGATCTAGTTTTATATAGGAAAGAGAAACATTTTAAATCGTAAAATTACTATAGTCTTTAATAGAACGATATGCTTCATTTTCAGTGCGGGCAGCTCCATGTTTTTAAAGATCTGTTATAATTAATATTATTTGACTCAATGACATCTAGCTGGCCAGTAGTATATATAACAAGTAATAATAAAGACCATTATGATTCAGGGTAGAACTGCTTAGTTGACAATCCATTCACCAACCAATTCCAAATTCAAATATTGATTAGGGCCCATATACATTAGGCAGATAGCCGTTATAGTAACCGCGCGGTTTATTGCAACAGCGGCTCGCAATCGCATAGTGCGTATGAGTTCTTATATGTATTTCATAAACGTTACAGTATCGAATCATACATTCATAACTGATAATAGGGGAGGCCAAGAGGGGATTCTTGGATTTACTCGAGCTTAGCAGTTAAACTTAAGGGGGAAACATTGCACCCAATAAATTAATCCTACCACAAATGAGAGGTTCCATATAGCGCCGCATTTTAGGGTAACTAAGGGCTACTTTTACTTATGTACTATGCAAATTGACAAATATTTAATAGATGGAATGTGTCATTTGTGCCAAGTTTGCGTTTTATGTTTAACTGCGACGTTCCAGTAAATCCAAAATTCTCGGTTCCGTTCCCCTACTATGATGTTCTATTTGGTAATTAAGTGTTAATATATACATTTCTAAACACTCGCTTATCAGTCGGGTTTACAATGACTTAATTTATTTCTCTAATGATTTAGATACTTGCAACAGCATTCAACATGTACGGATCCATTTTTAACCTAATGATTTCTCATGATTGCAAGCCGAGTAATATTAAATATCATAAATTGAGATTAAGATTTTAACAACAGTTTTAAAATGTATTGATAATTTAATTTCAATGTCATATTATATTATGTTTCTAGTCTCGTGATGATTTATCTTAATTTTTATCATGAAACAGTCAAAAGAACTCACAGTGTAAGTAATGGTGGAAATAGTAACTAATTAAATATCATAACTGATACAGTGAATCAAAATTTTCACAGATAAATACTAAAATTTAATTTAGTTAAGCAAATATGCTATTATCAGATACAAGCCATTACATGTTGATATGTTCCTTTACTAACGAGATCATTCTTATATCGTTTTGCTTTTCAATCATTTTCTTCCCTTAGTCCCAAACATAATAAACATAACAATAAGAAAGATAATCAACAAAATTGAGTAATAAAAATTACAAAATAGCGGAAAAAATACAGAGTTCAATTTGAGATCAGTTTGACCACCACAATTTATTTACAAAGCCTCATGGAACGACTTAACACAGAGTACAGCTTTAAATAATAGACAGTTTGACTCTTAAAAATGCTCTCACAAAATAAAAGTTCATTGGAAAAGGACTCTTCTAATTTATCTCGAAGCTGTCACAAAATGCAGAGGAAAATTGTTCTTAAGTCGTTCTATATACGGTCCATTTACACGTACCACTCCTTGATGCCGTCCCGCTTGACTGGGTGCGCGGGTAGAGGGGCGGCGGGCGCGGCGCTGCGGCTGAGCGGCAACGGCTGCAGATTGCGTGACGCGCCCCCGCTGCCGTTGCCATTTGATGCACTTTGATAGCTCGAGTGTGCTTGCTGTTAACAGAAAACGTAATTTTACAAAAGGACTAAAAATAAAATTAGCTTCAGAGTAGCGCATAATTCCGATTTCGGAACGTTGCCGTGAATTGGTGACGCATGTTCCTAAGCATATTTTGTAAGTTCAAGCGAATCATACCTGATTCCCGAGCAAAGCCGCGCTGGCGCCTTGCTGGTAGTTTTTGTCTTCCGTCACTTTATATGAGTTGTCGATCTTGAACACATAGTACTTGAGCACTATGATTACTATCAGTATTATTGCGATCAACACCGACGCTACTATCCCTGTAAGAACGACATTTATAATTAAGCTTTTTTTTATTCGTTTTAAAGAAACATCATTAATGAGACAAAAATATGAAATAACTTACCAACTATTGTGGCAAAGAACTCTGACTCCGGAGGGACAACCCTACTGTCAGTAGTTTTCGGGTGGTACCACTTGGTAGTAATCTCGTGCTCGTAACCATTGTAATCCGGGTGTATTCTCCCCGGCACTCTGTCTCTTTCGCTCCCCACTTCGTAAATAGGCGTGCGTATATCTATCTCGTTCTCACGTCGGTCTTCGTATTCTGGTATATGGTTGGTATCTTCCGTTGTAAGCGTTGTTTCAGGGGTGTGTCGGCCAGTCATTGTAGGTGTAAAATGACCAGTGTGAGTGTGTTCTATACAATAAAAGAATCATGGTTAAAATATAAAAAATAATATAAGTACTATTAGAAAAACCACGATTAGACTCACCATCAGTGGGCGTGGTCTTCCTATCAGTGGTAGTAGAGTGGACAGTGGGCGCGTGCATGTTGTCGTGGTCTCGTGCAGTGGGCGCGGGGGTGGCCGTGCTCTCCGTGCCCCCCGTGCCTCGCGTGCCCCCCGTTGTCGATCCCGGCAGTGTCTTGTCTACGTGCTCCGTCGATATTGCAGTGGCTGGTGATGTGAGGCTGTGAGTGCTGCTTGTTCCAGAACTGGAATAAAATACATGAAATATAATAAACATACTGGAAAGTAAAATTAGGTATTACAAAGCGCACTCACCTTGTGGTGGGATGTTCAGGCTCTGTAATATCTTCACCATTGGAACCTGAGCCTTCGATGCAGTCTTCATCATCACAAGGCTTCATCAGCTTTCCGCTTTGGTCACCCTAACGACAATTTTGTAATCATAATTGTATTGGAGTATGCAATCTATGTGGTATTATCATGCGACATACGAGAAAGAGAGGGAGTAACATTGTTTACGGTAGATTAATTTTTACAAGTGTGTTTATACCTTGTGTAGTTTGGTAGGCGGGCGTCGGGTGGCGGGCACATAGACGGGCGTGATGAGGTCGTCGCCGGCCGGGTCGGGCGCCGCGCACGCGTCCTCGTCGTCGTCCCGGCAACCCGAGCCCGCGCCAGAGTACACCAGCTCGTCTGGCGCGCCGCCACCGTACCCTGACGGCGGCGTCTGACAACATTTGTTAGTAGTTGGTCATATGCCATGAGATCCATTAAAACAATCACACAAATCCATTTTCAAAAAAAAAACTAAACGGATACTAACCTGCTGCATTCTGTTAATATCTCTGTCCAGTGGAGTGTGAGCCCTCCTCACGTCTCCTCTCAATGTAACCGAGGGGTCACCAGCGGCGGCCAGGTCCAGTACTCTGACGCCGTTGACGACCAGCCCAGCTACAACTCCGCTGAATGTTCTGGATCCGCCAGGGCCCCCGCCAACAGTTATTGTCGACATGCTGTTAAATATTGTCGATTGTTGACCGCCTGAAACATTAAAATCATTTTCGATTAAATAAATCATATACAGATATAATTATTTTCGTTAAAATGTCAATGGTTCATTGTGATCTTACTTTGCGGATGTCGTATATTGACGGCGTAGTTGTCAAGCTGAAGCGCGGCGCGGCTACCATTACGTGTGAAGCTGGCCACGTGGTAGACACCGTCGTCGACGCGCGCCGCCTCGTCACCCAGTGGGTGATCACCACCACCCACGTTGTACACCATGAACAGGTTGCCGCGGATCTGTACATCACATAAGGATCAGAAAATTTCGATTTTTTAATGTTTTTTGTCACATTCAATAGCTTCATTATAATTAATAATACTCACAATCTCCATCTGCATATAATCCTGTGTATTAGAGGACTCGATACGCAGTAACACTGCATCTGGTTTGCTGGTGAGGAAGCCGAGAGCGACGCGATCCACCTCAGTGTCGGCGCGCGCGTGTGGCGGCAGCGTGTGTGTTAGTGCACCCCGACCCGGGCCGAACTCGTATGCTATCGACTCTGTAATATACATAGTAAATAGTAATGGAAAGTAGTACGTGAAAATAACCTCTAAATTATGGTTTAGTTGTTTACACGTGATTGAAATTAGTGCTAAGAATAGTGAAGTCAGCGGCAACATTAATTTATTGCTTGTTAGCAATGTTAGGAACCGAAAATACGACTAAATCTGAAATTCATACCATCATAACACGTCGGTCCCGTGAAGGAGGTGAGATCGCAATCACACACATACGTGTTCCACTGCTGCACGCACACACCTTTATTCGCGCACGCGTTGTGTGTGCATTTTGTTGGGCCTGAAATAAAAGTATAAAGATCTTTATTAGTGGGATAGAAATTTTAAAAAGGAAAGTTAGTTTATACTTTTGAAAGTCACACATAAGCTTAACTGATATCTACAAAAGATGCATAAAACATACATATATTCCTCTCTCACGACTTATGTCCAAAGCATAATAAATTTGAGAATACAGAACAGAAGACAGTGAAAATCTCAACGTACCCTCACATCCAGAGACGAGAGAGGAACTAGGCACGACCGCGTCTTCTATAAGCGAGGGCGATTCTCCGGGTAGGTCGAGGCTGGCCATGCAGCCTTCGAAGCCCTGCCGCGACAGCACTCCCACCGGCAGCGCGCTGTACAGCTCCTTGGGTACACCGCCTACGTATAACACGCTGTCTAATTCCAACATTAACGTTGAACCTGGAATTATAAACATAATATATAAATAAATGCTGGACACTTAACAAATGACTGACTTCCAAACAGGGTTTATGACATTCTAAAACTGTGAGCTTTGTTTATTAAATTAGTTTGTTTTTATGATATAATGTTAATACTTACTCGTGGTATGCAGTTCCAAGTCCTCATCAACTTGCAATGTGTGTACCTTTGGCGTGGGTCTACGAATCGACACCGTGTGCCAGCGGTTGTCGTTCAAAAAATTCTTCAATTTATCTTTCATAGTGACCACTCCATCGCCTAAGTTAAACACGCAATGTATGTGGCCATTGACTAGTTCCACAGCTATAAAGTCTTGTTTCTTTCCTCCGTTGTAAAATAATAGACCATCCATTTCAGTCGTCCGAAAGTAAAAGTCTAAATACGTATTCCCATATGCCTTTAGCAACGGCAAACCGACGTAAGTATGTTTAGATTTAAAAGTCACAGACTTATAAACGTTCAGAGAGTCCGGCTTCACAAATTTTCCATTAAAAATTATATTGGACGTATCATATACATTATTGTTTTCATCGGAACTTCCGATTCCGAGGGTCTTAGCCAGATCTATATATTTAATACCATTAAAAACAAATTTTTGTAAATATCCAACAAAATTTGGCAAAGTTGACGTCATTTGTATTTCTTCTTCGGGATGAAATAGTCCTCCCAAGTGAAGAGTCGAGATTTCTAAAGTGGATGCTTTACCTAAAATCGTTTCAGCTGCAAAACAAATCAAAATAAATGATAGGACTGTTCTCTTACAAATAGACACATTTAAACACAACATTGACAATAACATAAAATATATTAGCAAAGAAAATCTTTGATAATCTTCTCATTAGCAACATTTCATTCAAATATTTACATTAAAATGTTAGCGAGGAAGTAACATACAAGAGAGCTAAGCTGGAAGGACAGTCAGCTAGAGTTATAGTTACTTTAAATAAATTCCAATGCGATTTTAAAGAGCAACATCGAATAGCCACATCACACATATCGTTGTATAAAATTGACACGTGTTCTCTTTATATTTCTTACATCAATTGTTTCATGAATTGTGTTTGTTTTGAACATGAGCATTAGCAGCTAATTTGTAGAAGTATACATGTATGTAAATAGTTAACATTTTGTTTAGTTTTCATCAGACATTAACATTCAAAGGCAGGGAATAATTCAATGACAACATTATTTATCATTAATTTAATAAATAAAGATATAAAGTTAAAGACATTTTGTTTTATGGCGTCCCTTCCTTTGACGTTAGGATAGGTTTATAATCTGTTTAATACTGTATTAAACAATCTGTGAGAACGCAGTAAAAATATAAACAGATTATAAAACTATGAATCACAAGTATCTGCACATTGACATAGGAGTCTACAAGAAAAAAAATAAAGAAAGAAAAGAAGAAAGAAAAGCGATCTACAAATGAAAGGTGAAGTTACAAAGTGCCAGCTAGAAAACAACAAAAAGTAAGCCACAACAACTAATAGGACAACTAACACGAACTAGATTATATTTATATACCTATTTTAACTAAATTAATAGTACTTAATAATTGGTTTTGCTTTGGAGTCATTTAAATTCTTAGGAGATTGTGTATTGAAATTTATTTGAATGTATACTGCAAAAAAGTGTAAAATTATCCTGCACATGTATAAAAGGCATGTTACATTACAATAATTTAGATAGTTGTTCCTTAACGCTCAATTAACTTTTTGAATTTGGAACATTTTGAAATTGTCAGTATGATTCAATCGTGCACTACCAATATTTATTGATTAATGTTTGTTGTATTTAATTATATTGTAATGATATTTGTATTTGTATCATTATTTATAGCAGATTCCAAAGCGCCACCAAAACCAACCTTAAGTCCGTCTAATTAAGGTTAAAAACAAAATGTTGTGCGGGTGCGGTCCCGTGCATACGTACATAACGTACCGCGCACGGCGGGGCCCGCGTCCACCTGCAGCTTCAGGTTGGACGCGCGCCGGGAGAAGCGAACTGTGTGCCACGTGTCGTCCGCCACGTTAGAACCCGCTAACAGATTCTAAAAAAAATAATCAAACGATCAAGACGAATGCGAAACAATTGAAACCGCGACAGACCTCATCACAAACTAGTCCCATTTATTGGAGACTAGAAACTACTATAAAATGAATAATGATTATAATGAAAATTCTTTATATACTGTCCCCTCTTTATAAAAACCTAAAGCTATAGGTACCTTTTCCCTATCCCCGAGCCGAACGCTGGCGCGCACCCTGCCCGCGGCAACCGCCAGCTCAATCCTGTCTGCGGAGTGATCGGCAGCGGTGCGCAGCAGCAGGCCGGCCTTGCTCGTGCGGAACCGCAACATCAGCTCCTCCGTTTGCGTCACGTGCTCCGGCCCCAGCGCCGCCGTCAGGTGCTGGCTCCCATTCAGGTACATTGTTGCTGATTCTGGAATATAGTTTTGAGTTTGAGTCAAGCAAAAGTGTGAGCTGAATGTAATTATTTCGTTGTTATGAATCTATTAGAAAAATGTTACCTCTTCCACACGTAGGTCCGGCGTAGTTGGTAGAGGAGCAGTCGCACAGCGGCCGGTTCCAGCCCTCGGAGCAAACTCCGCCGTGCTGACAGGGTGAGCTCACGCATTGTTTCATCAGCACGTGGCACGCTGGACGCACCGACGCTGTAAAAAAAATGTTAGGAATTCAAGAAGTCTTCGAAATAACAACGAATGTTTTAACTTTAATAATGATTGCATGTTGAAGAATACGATGTTAAAATAGAAATAATAATATTTAATTTCAAATTCACTGAGGTCAATATAATAATTTGTCTTTTTTATTTTCTGACCAGAATCCTGTTGTCTCGCATAAGCCGTCAGGTCCTGTGGTTTGCCGTTGAGCACCAAATCTCGGATGCAACCAACGAATCCTTGTCGCAGCGCCGCCGTCCACAGCGCAGGCGGAGTCCTAGACGCGGAGTACTCGGATCCCAGGCCACCGACAAACAAAGGCCCGTCTAGTTCCAACTGGTTAGATTCACCTGGAAAAATAAATCATTACAAGTTTTATAACACCCATAATTTGTTCAAAGCAGTAGGACAAGAGACATATCTATAATTCGATTCATAACTGTTTTACCAAATATTGTTATCTCTCAAATTTTCTTTGAAAAAACAGAGACAACATGTGTCAATACATATTTCAATGCAATTCAAAACCCACAGTACGACACCTACATCTGTAAAGACCTCTTGATTAGGCATAATGATATTGATATTGTGTAGCATACCAGGCGTCTTAAACTCAGCGTTAGCTCCATCAACAGTCACTCTCCCGTCCCTCCCAGTCCTTCGGAGCAGAAATTCATGCCAGTGTGAGTCGTCGACGCGACGTCGTGAGGCGCGGACACGCACACCGCCGGAACCCAGGTCCACGTGGACGTATATGTAGCCATTCAGCATCTCCACAGCGAAGAGATCCGCCTACAGAATGTAAGTTGTTTAGAACTTGTTCCGTTACTAACTACTAATAGTAGTTAGTAGCGAGGATATCAATAGAATATTAACTTTATATAGATTTAACGTTAACAGTGTAAGTGCCTTGAACAAGATACTGATTAATATGAATTACAAAGTGCATAAAGACTTTCACAAATTACAAATACGCACAAAAAACAACATTTATAAGGAATATTTCTTATGTGTAGTGTAATTAAAAATTGTGTTACTTAACAAGTTGTGATTTATTTTCGCTTAAATTGTGTCTATTTTGTTATATATATTTACCAAATAATACATCCAAAAGCAATTAATTAACTAAAATCTTTAGTTAAAAACTTTTATCATTGTTAAATAGAAGTAAATTAAATAAAACTAAGCAGTTCACATTCTATTAAGCTAAAAACTAAGATTGTGTGTCAACTAATTGTTATTCAAAGCACTAATAAGTTAAATACTATGAACACTTGTAGATAAGTTTTTAAGAATTTCATGTTTTTTTTACAGCAATTCATGCAAACTATTATTTATATAGTAATATCAAAGACTGTTAAGTTTAAATTTCAAATTAAAAAATTCTAGATGAAAAATTATGCAATATTTAATCATCCATGATGTGAATTTGTGTAGGTAATAATAAAGCCTTCTAAAAGCTTGTATTGGTAAAAATCCATCAAAACTTAGCTCCTATTTGCTTAGTGCTGGGATCAAATCATTATGTGCGAGGGATCTACTGTGCACATCAAAACAGATAAACACAAAACACTTGACGCTTCAAAGTGGGTGAAACTTTATAAGGTACCATACACAAATTCCCCTACAACTGTGAATCACGAGTTTTTGAATGATATCCCCTGTCTACCTACCATGCACTTCAAACTGTGGATATTGATTCTTCATCTACAAATGTATTACCATTCAAACATTCTAAAGCATTTATATTATGAAAAACATAATTATATGTATCCACAGCTTCATAACAGACAAGAGTTTGCTTTATTTTTACTTTCTTCGTTAAATTAAGGAATCTTTTATCATTTAGAAACAAATGTTGTTACTTCTATAGGAAATATATCATGGATTTTGTTTAATTTATCAACAGTAGCAATATGTGTTTTAAGACTCCTTAATTCTGCATTAAGACAATCTCTTGTATATCCATAAACAAAATCTTATTGACTGACATGATATCTGTGACAACTGATTCAGCGACGAATTAATGTTTATGGTCTGTCTTTAATGATTTCGATTCAACCCCAAAAGCTTCACCCCTTACCGTGCAACCTACCCTTGGTGGCTTCGCGCCCATGTTGAACAGTATCAAACCGTTCGGTTCATTCGTTCTGAACTTGAATGATATCGTTCCTGTCTTCACCGCCTCCCATTTTGGTAAAATCTGCAAACATCGAATGATTAATAAGAACGGTTTCTTAAATTCAAATTGAATATATCATTAGTTGTTCATTTTAATATGCATTTTCCTAAATCATACCATACTTAGTTTTATACTAAACTTCTGAAGGGTACATTAACGGTATATTGTTATAAACATGATGTAATGCTATGAGTATGTTGGCTTTGTGGCCTCTAATTCGAATTAGGATTTCATGCCCCAATAAGTCGAAATAATCGAAATAAATCGTTAATATTTAAAAATAACGACCACCAGGTGAAAGCAATTAGATTCGAATACAGTGGAAGTTATGTCGGCGTACGGAGAATTAAAATCATTAAGCCAATTATAAGTTGGAACGACCTTGAGCGTTCGCACGAGTCCTTCGGAGCGTTATTAGTTTCAAGATCAATGTAACGATAAAAATATTTGTAGCGCAATGTAAAATGAAAAGCCATACAGCTGAGGATTGCGGTGAAGGCGAAATTATTATTAAACTATTACTGCAAAATTCCATTGCGATTTATAGGTACAAATCATTTTTAAGCTTCTGTTTTATGCATTTTTTGAACGTTTAGCTTATTATCCTCGAAAACAATCACGCAAGACTTTATGTTAGAGAAGGAACAAATCCAAGTAAATTAAAAATTATTCGCTGTATGTAACTTCAATAACTCCAGTCTTTTTTTCACACTGGCTACACATATGTAGTGTAGTTTTAATCCAAAGTCTCGTCAAAATAAATTATACTCGTATATATCTCATAAAAAGTAATAAAAGTAAAATAAAATCATAATGTATTTCTACATTTTATCACGTATTAAATCAGTTTTCCTTTACCTCAGTGTAAATGCCAAAGCAGTGATTACAGTCATTATAGTAACACTTTCGGATACGAGAATATTTGGGCCGAGGGAATGATTTATGAGCCGTCAAAGAGACTTATTGGACCAATTCGAGGTAAATTGCGATGTAACAAATTGGCATTATACTTTCAAGCAAAGATCACGGTACAACAATCAGTATGAAACTATATCTAATTTCATTATCAATCTATTATATTTGTGTACAAAATGTACACTTTTAATATTATTAGCTGGCAATTAAGCAAGTGGTCACCAGGATTCACAGAAATAGCGAAGGGGCCGCTGCACATAGACATCCGCAGTAGAAATATGCAATCTGCATTGTCTACCCGTTTAAACGACAGAGGAGAGAACACATAGGAAAGGAAAAATTCACTTTCTGTACGTCCACTCAATCTAAACTGATTTAGGTTCAGGAATAAAACCTAATAATTTTTCGTCAGAGTAACGCACTTGAGCTCTGCGACCAGTCGATTGTCGGACACAAATCCAATAACGGTCGTCAGATCTAATCACGCCGGAGCTACTCCGGTTATTCAATCAAACTCTAGGGCCCGAAACGTACAGTAACACGAATGAACTACGAGAAAATATTGCAAACACTGTCCTCTGTTGTATTGAAAGTAGTCATTTTAAATTAGTTTAATAAATTTAAATTGATAAGTTATAGTATGCTTATACGGCTATTCTCTATAAGTCTATTAAGAGAGTACCTCTTAATAGTAACTGATATTTTCTCTATATTTAGCAGTTCATACACTCTTCAAGCTCTCATTTCCAAAATATAACAATTATACGTACCAAATGCGCATCCCTCGTACTGAATGTAACGGGGTCTGCGGAGTCTGTAGCGGTGCAGGCGTACTCCAGCCGGCCGGTCACAGCTATCAGCTTGCTGCCCGTGCGCGCTAAATCTATCAGATTAAGTCGCAGAGTATCTGCTGAGAACTCCACCTGAAAGAAAAGAGAAATTTTATGATGTACATAACTAATAACGTCACTAGTATTAGTCTTTAATCGACGTCTTTTGTTCCATTTGTAAAAGTTATTTGGAGTGTAACTTACTACTTCTTTTGTATCGACAAAATCAGATTCATAAACTTAGATGCTTAAATTGCTAAACTGCAATGAAACTTATGACAATCAATTTTAAATCTTAATCTTATAAACATAAAGCTCACTTTTTTCAAGCAGCCGATGAAGTTTGTATGAACTCTAGCACCGGGCAAAGCTCTAGCATTTAGCGAGCCTCCCACATGAGCCCTGGAGCTGGCCAGCATTGTGAAGGAGCCTGCCACGTGGGAATGTTCCGAGTATACGTCATCCACCACAGCCGACACCTGCAAAAATATTATTAAAAATACAACACATGATTATGAAAAATGACAAACACCTCTTAAATAACGAATACTCTTTTAAAACCCAAATTCCTTTTAGTTTCTTCATTCAAGATAAGTTTGAATCAGGAAACGAGTGTAAACATTAATTCTGATATTTGGACGAAGTGAAAATTCAAGATTCTGTGTGCAAAGTGAACTTCCATACGAAATAACGAATCGTGTTTTTTCACGAATCAATTATGACGAATCCCATGTGAGTGAGGCTTAAATGTACCAACCGTGTCCGTATACTTTGTTTTACATCACAAAATTTTGTAGTTATAAGTGCAAAATATGTAGTTGTTAGGAACTACACTATTAACGTATGTATCTAAGAGTTTGTGATACATTTATTACTTCTCTACTTAATCTATAAAAACGTTATTTATTCCAGTATTCATATTATCTTTAGAAACCTTATCTCGTTTCTGAACAACCGCAATATACATAAAACATAATAAGTTTTTTTAAGGAACAACAGCTCAGTAATTGCTTATGAAGAGAATATAATCTCATTTTTGCTGGCAACATTATAAGAGTATGGTTTAATAACGTTGAGCATTATCCTCGAACGTATGATTGTCTTATAACTTTATCAAAATACAACATGAAGGAATTTATTAACAAATAGAAGTACCCCGCGGTGTTATTTACTGAGTAGTTTAATTTAATCGTAACTTGTTTTTTTTAAAACTTTTTCTTCTAAATTTGGCGCGGTTTTTAACGTGTTTCAATCCCGCCCATCAAGCGTACAACCGAGTTAGATTGGTATAAGAAATATTAGTAAATCAACACAAATAAGTTTATTTGTCAAGAAAATACATTAAACTGGCACTATTGAAGATTTAGTACGAACAAATCTGCACTATCATCATTAGCTCACTATTCGTCCCCACCGAGGGGCTCGGAGCCTACCCTAAGTCACGGGTGACTAGGCCATAGTCAACCACGCTGGGTAAGTGCGGGTTGGTTGACTTCACACATATCATTGAATTTCTTCTCAGATATGTGCATCATGATGTTTTCCTTCAAGTAAGAACGTCGGATAAATGTACATATGTAAATCGGAAATCGAAAAACACATTGGTACATGGCGTGATTCGAACCCAGGATCTGCAGATTGCAAGGCAAGTGCTGAAACCCCTGAGCCATCGAAAATCTTCACTAAGAGATCTAAAACAACGATTGTGTGTGCGACAGATAGATCTTAATTAAGCTTTTTGTTACAATAACCTAATAGTTATTTCATAATTTCTATTATATAACAATAAGTAAACTTACATACTTTCAAACAAATAACCAAAAATATTTATTACAAAGTATTAAAACATAATAAAATAACATCTTACTTACAAAGAAATCTAACAAGAACCTAAGCGATAACTTATAAATGTTTCAAACAAGTGGACTATTCTGTATCGAGGCGATATATTACCGCCTAAGGCCACTTGCTAACATCTGTGCGCGACTTACCAAAGTAGCCTTGGACAATATTTTTCCAATATATTTTACGAGTAATATCCTGTTGAAACAAATTTCATGGAACTCTTCGTCGCTTATGAAACAAGTTTCTCTCAGAAATAATATCTATATTTAATAATTTAGTGTTTGTTTTTTTTGTAGCGTTATAATAGAACTTATATAGATTTTGATACGAATATGATTAAAAAGTGTTGTAATCAATTAGACAAAACAAGATATTATATTAAATCTACAAATAAATATTTACTTACCCGACAAAAGCTTGTAAACGGCGTAATCTGAAAATAGGAATTTTACATATTAATAAAGATCACAGTTTTTTTAACAACACAAAGACAAATGTAAAGATAGCTTAATTGTTCCTTAAATTGTACTAATATTAGATTTCAAAAAATAATTATGTGAACTATAAACTATTAAGAGTAAATTATTTCTAATATTTACAACTAGAATTAAAAAACTTAAAAATTATTATGGTTTGTCTTTTAGGTAGTTTAGTCTTTTTCTTGATCTTCTGTGTAAGGGTCACCTATAGCGTTTTTAATACAATTAAGTAATTTTATAAATCTACATAAGAGTTCGTCAATTCTGCTACATTAATAATTTCAAAATTAACTATTTGGTATTAATAAACAATTGATTTAACGATACGTTAGTATAGTACCATGAAAATGAAATAACCAAATTAAATAAATCCGACAGACAGAAATATATAATCGATGGTATTCAATACGTCAGACTAGTAGAAAGTTATGTACATAATGTATGTATAGGTACACTAGAGTGGCGCAGGCTGCATTAATAACTTACTAAGTTAGCGCTCGCGTTGTTCATTTAACCTCAAAATATAAGCTTTGTTCATTTATTTATTAGACTAGACTCTTATTGTTCATACTAAATTAGATAATATTTAACTATTTGTTACAACAAAATGCAAATATGTTTAAACTAACATTAAACGTAAAGTTATAAATAGCAACGTATCTACCAAATTCTGTGAACTCGAGTTTTATATTGGAACTATTTTTCTGTAATTTTAAGCTTTAACTTTGACTTTAAAGTGCTCGTGTTTCTAAAGAACATGCGACGAAAAAATCTTAACACTTTTAATAAAGGCAAAGGTCAAGGTTTGACTTTGACTTAGCTTTTAACATAGAAAATAGTTACACATCAGGTCAGTGACTATGAAAGAAATGTAGATGGTATAGTTCCCTTACTTTAGTTATTATGTAATAGTGTACTTTGTAGAATTTTTAAGCTTTATTTACTAAGAAAATGCTTTTCTTACGACCCTTAGTAGATGTAGCAACGTTAGTTGCGGGAAATGTCAGATTTTTAAAATACGAAATGTGTTACCACTGTCCAAGCCACCACTTCCAAGTAAAGGTATATCAGAAAACTAAATTCAACAACTATAATATATTTGACAGTTGTTAGTTGCAGTAATCAAGAACTACACTATAATAATCAATTGGAGTAACTTATGGAATAGGTAATAATAGTTATTACCTCTTGTATTCGTCTTCTTACAGTAAGTTTGTGCCACTGATGATCGTCGAATCTCGTTTTCGCCGGTTTGATATGCATCTCCTGCTTGCCGTTGCCAAGGCCCATTGTCAGTGATAGTCCTCCGTCTCGTACGGCCAAATTCAGATAGTCTGCTTCATGACCTAGTGAAGAAATACATAAATTACGTAATATCGTTAAAATAGAGAAGTCATTTACTCCTTGTTTACTAGTTTTCTCTAAGTGTGAATGGTTGAGTCTATGCGTTAAAAAGGGGCTTCAAATCACATATTAACATGTACATACTAAAAACTGATGATCAGATTCAGAAGAACTAAGTTTATTTAAGACAGTCCTTACTTAAGAAAAAAAAATTGACAACCAAAGTTACTTACTTGTTAATCTCGTAACCCCTTATCATATCTTCCTTGTCTTTTATTCTTTGTCTCAGTTTATTTGTTACATTTATAAGTATACCTGTATAGAAGAGAAGTCCATTAGGCTGTCGCGTCTTGAAGTACAGAGAGATGGCATCCTGCGCGCTAACGATAGGCTCGCCCCCGGTCTGCGTCAGGTCGTACGAGAGGAACTCGGCGCCACGGAACGTCGCCTCCGACGGCGCCTTGTCTGTTACAACAAACAAGGTCAGTGTATTAGGATAGAAGCGACGTATAGGTAAGGTAACAATCCTTATATTGTTCGTCCCCTCGCCAATATTAAAATTGATATTTCAGATGGCTGCTTGATTGTTTGTTACATTTGACAATAAACATGTATTTAATTTCATTCTGTACTAAAGATTCAAGTGCCGATTAAACATAAACCCAATCTGCCTCGAGCGCGCTAACTTTTAAGATCCAATAGATGAAACTTTCAAACTTAAACTACAAGATATCCTGTTCAGACATCTGTCTTGTTTACGATATTGTTACAACATTTATCAAAATACAAGCTATCGCCCGCAGCTCTGTTTATGCAGAAATAAAAAAAATAGAAGCCTCTGTGTTCTTCCAGACTATATTCTACATCTATGCCAAATTTCAGCTGGATCGATGTAGACGTACCAAAGATACTAACAAACTATGCACTCATATTTTCATCCAAACATTCAATTTGTAATCATAAATAGTAAAAAAAGATTTAAAACATGGAAAATAATTTAACTACGCAAATAATTGTTTAAACATATGATGCATGCATCATATAATATATTTTCTTGATATAATATTTACGTTGTACTTTCTTTATAAATCATTTAACTTTATAAAACAACGTAGAAAAATATTCATGTGTAATTCATATTTTTACCAAGAGATATAAAAGCCTCTTTCAGGTGTTATGTTAAAGCACAACTTAATCCCTCCCTTGCCGCGGCCAAGGTCTGTTCATTCGTAAAGCCTTTTAAAATTTTAAAAGTGAAATAATTACTGAGACCGTTGATGAATGCGCGACATAATTTGGTCAAAAATGTTAATGGGGGAATTGGGTCAGCTTTCTACTTGACAATGCCATTTTTGCATGTCACAGAAATGTTTACGTAAACGTGAGGGGGACAATGTCGAAATGTTTCAGTGTTGGCACATAAGGAAATTTAAACAGTATTAATGCCTCGGTTACATCATTCCAGTACATTATAGCAGCAGCGCAGCTCCAGTAGGACCATGCCAGACCAGCGCTACTGTCCACCGTACTGGCATAATCTAAACAAGACATGGAAATCCGCCATATACATTTTTATTTATTAATTATTCACTGGATAAAATGAAAATTTACAATTTAAAGCTACCCTTTAGCCGTGTGTAGATAAATTATTAAAGGATCCTGTGGTTGTTCAATCACACGTTAGGGGGCGCAATCGACCCCTCAGTCGCGGCCCGCGTGGGACGAAATCGACCCCTCAGCCGTGGCCCGCGTGGGACGCAATCGACCCCTCAGCCGCGGGCCGCATGCTAAATGTCTCAGAGGTATCGTAATGCGGACTTATTGCTTCAATTGTAATTTCGATCGCTTCTAGTTTATTGCTGTGGTAATTAATGCGAGGGATTTGCGTATCTGTGAGAGCTCAATTACATTCATGAACGTTGAGAAATATAACTGAAATCTAGTTATTTGTAAAATTATTATGTGTAAGTTTCTCATCCCCCAGGACTATATTAGTTAGTTAATTTCGATACATAACCGTTTATATATTAAATTTAATAGTAAATATTTTACACAGACATCATTATATATTTTACTTGTATTTATATTTGTCATTAATGTACTATATTTGAAAAAAACTTCACGTAAACTTTTAATTATACATTAAAAGTACTCATTAATCATTTCCTGTCAAAGTATGACCTAACTTTACCACTTAGATGCACCGCTACTTAACCTGCTTTATAATATTAAAGTTAAAACTTTAACAAGAAGTCATTATAAGCTTCTTCAAACTTCGAACGTTTTATCTTAATAATTTAATAGAATTATATCCGTTTGAAGAATTTAAACACCTGCTTTAGATTTAATTTATACAATAGACACCCGGTTGTACCAAAGATTACAAAGATGACCAGTTTTAACAGTGGTAGAGCCCGCTTTAACACCTTCGCACGAATTGGCATGGCTCGCCCGGTGAAATACCACGACCACACAGAAGACAGGCGTGAAGTGGAAGCTATTCCGCGTTTCGTCTGATGAGTGTGCGTCCCGGAGACCTTCTTTAGTCCAATTTCCCTTCCCACACTTTTTCTTATAAGGAAAGGATGGGAAGTGGAAGTGGACTTTCCGGATGAGAAGATGCATGGAAAGGGAAAATATTTTCTTTCTGTGCATCCTCTCCTCCGTCGATTCAAGATAGGCAACGTATATGCAATTGCGTATGTCTATGTGCAACGGTCGCTTCGCTATTTCAGCGATTTCAGGTGGCCGCTCGCTCGTTTGCCACCTTATGATATAAAAAAAACCATGTCATATAAGGTTTTTAATTTGTTAATTTACTTCTCTCAACATTTAAAAAATGTTAAACATCCAACATAAGTGTCATTTACATAAACAGCAGCAAATTTCTAAATGATTTTTTCAGTAAAAGCTCATTCTGTGATTGAAGGAAATAGACACATCGTGTAGTCCCGGAAACTAGCATCCTTGTTGACTGGGGTTTATTGAGTATGCGAGGTTACGACGTAGGGATTCGTCTACGAAGCCTCTACAGAATTCAAGCAGTTTATTTTATATTCAATTATCCTTTCACCTTCCTATATATACTTTTAGATAATTACTAGTTATCGCCTGCGACTTCGTCCGCGAGGGATTAAAAATAGATAGTAGCGGATTCTCATACTGAATATGCATAAAAAAATCGTCCAAGCCGTTTTGGAGGAGTATGGTAACTAACAATATGACACAAGAATTTTATATATAAGATAATGCGTTCCCACAGGCTGAACACTTACAAAAACAATTTCTAATTAATTTCAGCCCATTACAGCATTATATCTTTTTGCAGTCCTACACTTGGAAATAATATTTTACGATTAGTGTTGCTTGTTTAAATTCACTCTGGTTTACCTCATTATTTGTTTCTTAGATTTTTCCTTGTCACATTAAAATTCTACTCCCTTCTTTAAAATAGTGAATTCAATAGAAACGCGTTACGAATAGCTGTGAATATTACCGCTGCCTTCATTTCATATTCTTTCCGTGTCGCACTCGCCCGCGCAAATCTAATCCCCACCTAGACTTTCCGATATATACCTAGTTGGTATACTTACTTCTTATGTAAAAAATTCAGGGACATATACAGAATTTATTATATAACGATGGTGAAAGAAAGCTAAAGTTTTAAATGATACATTGTTATAAAAAAAAGTTGTATGAAATTTTTAAAATAAAGCTAATCCCGAGCGGTCTAAGATTGAGAAATTGTAATCCGAAACTCGATAAAAAGTTACCAAGTTTCCATCTGATTTATGTCTTGAAGAAATTTTATTGCAAAAATTGTGTGTCAAATGACGTCATGAAGATAATTAGATAAAAAAATAGTCTCCATTTTTAAGTTAATACAGAAGTTCTTTAGTAAACGATGTTGTTTTTGAATATAAAATCAACATGTAGTAAAGGTATAGTTATTTTCATAGACGTATTAAAGATACGATACGATAACTATGTCACGAGACTCTTATATGAAAGATGAAACAATTTTATCCCTTAAACAAGTGTACTGTATACAAGTAGACAGTAGGTAGGACATAGACCTTTTAGTTCAAAGGTCCGTCAGCCAGACGTTAGTTTCCTGTATGTAATCGAGCTCACTGGATAGTTCCGTCTCGAGTTCTCAGTGGATATGTGCTGAATTACCTGCCATTGTGCCGCTTCAGTGCACCGGAAATAGACCAAAGCTCATGTTCAGATTGTGTTCACTCAGTGAGTTAATGTTGCTCTAAACGATTCTTAAATTCTATCAAACTCTGTGATTTCTGTCTTGTGCTATTGTTTGCTATAATGTTATCTGTTCTTTCCGATTTGTAAACTACGACTTTACAATGTCAAATGCATTTTATATTTTTTGCTTTTCATACATTTAAATAGGAAAATAAAAATATACGTCCATCTAGTTGTTGATAAGTAAAATTGTTAATTAAACGCATTTAAAACTTGATCTATAGAAAGTAAGAATCGTTAAACTTTGTTTATCTGTCAGAAATATTATGCGGAAGTAATATTAACTAGGAGTATAAAAACTTTTCTGTAGCAGGTGATCTTTAATGTTGTTCTTGTTTAGAATAATTATTCAAGGAAAAAAAACATTTGCAATATCTTGCCATTCGCCTCACACTTTTAAAAACATGACTTGTTGCCTTTAGTTGAATAAAATAATAAAACCATTGAATAATATTTATCAAAACTCTAGGGAATTAAATTTTCCATCGTCCAAGTTTGCACAAGCAAGTAGTAAAGTCAACTGTGTCAAGTTGGCTCTTTACATTCCATTCGCATTCCGCGCACTAACTCGATTGTATTATAAAATGTCGCGCAAATCTGCTACGTGTTATAAACGACAATTACTTTGGCTACACAATAATTCTATCAAATTGAAATGTACGACAATATTAAAATATTGTTAAACGACTAACCACTGGTTTCCGAGACCAAAATCTCTGTTTAAAACATATCGTCATCCCAGTCATTATGTTTGACTAAACAGAGATAATATTTCAAACGGAAAATTTGGTCTCAGAAACCCACGGCAAATCGATGTTCGGAGATTGTTTTTTATTCCCGTATATTGTTTTTAAAGAAATAGCGAAGCATTAACTTAATCTACAAAGTCGTAGTTTTATGATTACCTTTTTATTAAAACTAGTAGAATAGCGTTTTGTCTCATACGTGTTGCGGCTTAGTCCCACATATTACGGTCTCTGGCGGTCATAAAGAGAACTAAATTGTCGCATTACCGCACGAAAACAAGTAAGAATTGCGCACTTAACGCCACTAAACTGATAACTTTTATCGCACATCCGTACACCGGGATCTCGGCTTAATTTAGCGAATATACACAGACAAATTTTTATACATATTCAGCCTCGTGGAAAACAAAGAGCTTCTTATAAGGCTTCTTTTGCGATAAGGAAAATCTTTCACTG